GGGGGTGGGGTGGGGGGAAGACCATAAGCATGTGCAAGGGATGAAGAGAGCAGAACTGGGACAATCCAGGGCTCCATTGGCCTTGGAAATGACTCAGGGGGCCTAGTTGAAAATGCAGGCAAGGCTCTCCATCTAGATTCAGCTCTCTCCACTGACCTCCACTGGGATTTAGTGGTCTCCAAATACCCTTTATACAGCATTTTGGAGGCACTATACTCTGCTTTTCTCTCCCCATCTCTCTTCTTCTTGGGGTTCCTTCACTACCTGCTCCACTCTGCAGGTCTGGAGGCCCCCTCCTCTCCCTAACTCTCCTGTGGCTGTAGCTGCCTTCTCTCAAGTCCTGTCAACCAATTCCTGGAAGGTCAAGCTCCCTAGGGATTTGTCGTCACCTGTGCTATGAGGGCCACATCCTGTGAGGTGTGAGGTGGCTTTCTGCTGAGGCTTCCATCATTTTCCATGTGAAGGGACTTGTTAGCCTTCTTACTATTTGGGGCTGCATCAACACATAGAGAAGAGAAGCTTATCCAAAGCTAGAAAATGCAAGGAACAGTTCTCACCTACAGCCTCTGGAGGGAGCATGGCCCTGCCAACACTTTGATGTTAGTCCAGTGACTAATTATGGACTTCTGTCCTCCAGAGCGCATAGAGAAGAGAAGCTTATCCAAAGCTAGAAAATGCAAGGAACAGTTCTCACCTACAGCCTCTGGAGGGAGCGTGGCCCTGCCAACACTTTGATGTTAGTCCAGTGACTAATTATGGACTTCTGTCCTCCAGAGCTGTGAGAAAATAAATTTGTGTTGTTTGAAGTCATGTTTGTGATGATTCCTTATAGTAGCAAAAAGTCCCTTGCAGCTTAAATCTTCCATTTGTATGAAGCAGATGTAGTTAACATTAAGTGGTATCCATCAGCAGTGATCAGGTCTTCTGGAAAACATGACAAAATAGATTTTAAAACAAAAGAAGTTATTAGATATAATGTGGTACATTTTATAGTGATGAAACGGTAATCTATCAGTAAGAAAGAACCATATTTTTTAGAAGGCAGCTAAAGCAGTGATTAGAGGGAAACTTATAGATGTAAATATCCATATTAAGAAAGAAAAACGATCTCAAATCAATAATCTAAGCTTCCACATGAAGATACTGGAAAAAGAAGAGAAAACAGAACCTGAAATAGGCAGAAGGAAGGAAATAATAAAGATGACAACAGAAATCAATATAATAGAGAATGGAAAAACAATAAAGAATTCAATGAAATCATAAGTAGCTTCATAAAAGATCAACAAAATTGACAAATCTTTAGTTTGACCAAGAAAAAAAGAGAGAAGACTCAAATAGCCAAAATCGGAAATTTTGGCTCGCAAGAGAATTTTGACTCCCTGGTCACAAGTGAAGAGATTGCGTTAACAATAAAAATCAACTACACACCATGAAAAGTTTATGTCCAGAAACTTCCCTGCTGAATTCTACCAAACTTTTGGAGAATATTTAGTATCAATTCTCAGATTCTCCAAAAAAACAGAAGCACAGTAGAGATACTTCCCAACTCATTCTATGAGGCAGTATTACCATGATACCAAAACTGAACAAAGATATCACAAGAAAAGGAAAATTTAGACCAATGTATCTGGTAAATATAGGCACAAAAATCTTCAAAAAATACAAGAAAACATAATTTAGCAACATATAAAAATAATTGTACCCCACGCCTGAGTTGAATTCATTCCAGGAATACAAGGTGGGTTAACAGCTAAAAATAATGTAACCTGGGCCGGCCTGGTGGCGCACTGCTACAGTGCACCGCTTGGGAGCACCGCAGCGCTCCCGCCGAGGGTTCGGATCCCACATACAGACCAGTTCCCGCTCACTGGCTGAGCGAGGTGCGGGAGCAACGCCGAGGGTTGCAATCCCATTGCCGGTCCCAGTCCGGTACGGGTGCGACACTGAGGGTTGCGATCTGTTGCCGGACACGAAAAAAGGAAAAAAAAAAAAAAATGTAACCTAATGCACCATATCAATATGCTAACAAGCAATACCACATGGCTCTCTCAATAGAAGCAGAAAATGAATTTGACAAAATCCAACATCAGTTTATAATTAAAACATTCAACAGACTAGGAATAGAAGGGAACATACTCAAACTAATAAAGGCAAATCAAAAACCCACAGCTAACATCATGCTTAATAGTGAAGGCCTGTAGATTTATTTCCTAAGGTCAGGAACACAAATATATCCCCTCTTCACTACGCCTATTCATCTTTGTACCATAGATGCGAACCTGAAAAAGTTGGCAACAGGAATAAATAAAAGCGATCTAGATTAGAAAGGAAGAAGTTAGATTGTTTTATTCACAGATGACATAATCTTGTATTTAGAAAATCATAAGGACTAAATACTGTCAGAACTAAAAAATAAGTTCAGGAAAGTAACAGGTACAAGATCAATATGCAAAAATCAATTGCATTTCTGTACACAGAAATGAACAACCCAGAAGTGAAATTAAAGAAACAATTCCAGTTACAATAGTATCAAAATCAAAATATTTAGGAATAACCTTAACAAAAGAAGTATAAACTTGAGCACCCGGAGCCTCATTTCCTTGGCTCTGAGGACTTTATCTTAACAGAGAAAGGAAAGGGATTGCATTCGTGGCCTTCATGTGATTGCAGGTGGCCATAGGGTGAGGTCTACGCATCAAATGTGATTTCTGTCTCCATTTTTATGAATAAAAGGTTGAGACCCACAAAGAGAAGGAATGGAAATCCATGTCTCAGAGGGCAAAATATCAGGCACTGATTTTCTCTGCCCAAACCCTGCTAATCATCCTGTATTTAAAGGATCCCCAGAGGCCTAGCACAGGACACATTCAAGGCCCCCAAGACATTCTGGGGTGAGCAGATGACTACACACCTCCTGGACTGGAGCAACAATGTCCTCCCAGTCTTCCCGGTCACTGGGAAACATGCTCTTTGATCGGCTGAACTGTCTTCCCACCTGCCGTGGCAGTTTTGACACTGCTCTTGTTTGCCCTTTCTTCACCTTCCTTTGAGCATTGCCCCATTTGTTTTGTGATACCTGACTTCACAGAGAATCAGCAGAAGGTGGGCTTTGTTGCACCTGCAGACTGTTCTACCTCATTGTTTCCTTGGGAGCCTCTGTTCAGCTGAGAGTGACCTAGACAATGACTTCTAAGGTCATATTTGCTGTTTCAGAGTAAATATCTTGCCAGGATCTCCACTCATCCTTATAGAACAACTTCCTTCAGTTGATCCCTTTTCCTTGCAGGGGCCAGGACAAAGCATAGAACATAATATTAAGAGTGAACTTCTTATGGGGAAGTGAGGCTGGATCAGAGAGAATTCTGTATGACAAAGTGGGAAAGTCAGAAGACCTGGATTTTCCACCCAGCTTTGAAACTTGTGAACTTTGTGATGGACAAATTGACTAACCTCTGTGAGCCTCAGGATGCACATCTGTAACATGGGGATGCCTACCTCATGGGGTTGGTGTGAGGATTAACTAAGATAACACTTGGAAGTGCCTTGCACAGGCCTGACACATATATGCTTATTACATACTCTTCTCTTTATTTTCTTTCCTCTGGGTTGCAGAGTCACTGCACTACAAGGGAAGCCTCACTCCACTCTGAAGACTTGCTGAGGGGGAGTATGGGCCTTTACCTGTGGCCTGGGTGAGGTGCAAATTCTGTCCTTGCCAGAAATGGACCAATGAATTTATGAAAGACCCAGCCTGTGATTTTTCAGTCTAAGCAACAAAAGCTCCTAAATCCTTTTTAAAAATTAAAAAACAAAATAAAGGATCCCCAGATATCATATCAATAGGTGTTTAAGGGATAGGCCTGGGATCTAGGATTCTGAGGAAGAGAGCCTAGGGATTCTAAAGTCTGAGGCAAGAGAGTGCTGGGAAAAACAAGACTGAGTTCCTTGGATCTGCAGCATAGAGTTACTGAGGAGGAATTGGAGCATCAGAAAAGATACAGGAATTTGAACAAGGCAGGGAATACATCAGAAAAAAAAACTAGTGATGGGTCTCGGGCAAGAGTCAAGCCTGTCACCCCCCCCCCCCCCCATTCATCTCCCCTTTCATTCCAATGCCCATCCCACTAGCAAGTCCACATCAACACTGATCACTCATGGCAGGCATTTCCCTGTTTGAGGAGGAACTTCAGTGGCAGCAGGTGCTCTGAGAAACCCCTTTACAGAACTCCTTGTCTAGTTTGTGGCAGAAAGCAGAGAAGGAAAGGCAAAGTTCAGATTCATCTCTCTCTCTCTCTCTCTCTCTCTCTCTCTGTCTCTCTCCTCTCTCACCCTAAAGATATGATTCATAGATACATGAATGAATGAAACTTGGGAGTTTCTGAGCAAATAACTTTCAGACACTGGAAGTGTAAATTTTCCCAAGAATTATGGAGCACACCTACCCTATGACCCTGCTATTTTATTCCACTATATACATAAGTGCAGTTTTTTCATCTGTTTAATATAATCCTCGGGTTGGAGGAGAGTAACCATATTAATTTCTTGTTTGTTAACTAATTTAAAGTAAAATAGAGACATGATTTTTTTCACGCTTAGAATGCACCTGCGAAAAATAGACTTGGGTTCTATAACAATACCTCTATCAGCACGAAACAAAATAAAGTTACTTATTAATATCATTGACTAATTGGCCCATGTTCGAATCACCCCATTATTCCCACAATGTTCCAGGTTGTCAAATCACAATTTAAGAAAGAACCATAATTCCACATTGCTGTCACGTGGACAGAGACCAGTCTTTATCCATCAGATCCTGTTCTCCTGGTAACAGGAATCATTGCTGTGAAAATAAACAAAGCTTCCTCCATTGGTTCCTAACGGAGGGCCGCAGAGGTTTGTGGGAAATGTAGTCTCGCCCTCCAAGAGGTCACCCGCACAGCACTATGGGAAGAGCTCTGTCTGGTTTCTTCTGCGCATGTGCTGCTCTGCCCACTTCTGCTATTTTCCTCCTGGAACTTCCGGATTGCGGCTGCTCCCGCGCTACTCAGCCAGTCTGGGTCTGGGTCTTGCGTTCCTAAAGGTTGGTGCCAGGGTGAAAGAGGAGACCCACAGGCCTCGGGGGAGCCTGGGGAGCGGGACAAGTGTTCCACCACCTGATGGAGCAGAAATGTGGGTGCGCCTTAGACTGGCGGGGCCTGGGCCGGGTCCGGTAAGGCGACAGTAGCATGTGGGGATTCGCAGGTCCGGGGTTGCGGAAAGGGCGACTTGGACTGTGCTTTCAGCGATTGCTTTGTCAGAAGATGGTGCGCTCATAGAAGGCCGCGTTTGTGCTTTTAGGTATACAAAAGCCGCTTCCAGAAGCTCCGCGAACAGGATGATTGAGTCCAAGACGGCGACGGGGTGGGGTTGGCTGCAGACATCCTGACCATCGAAAGTGTGCGGTGTGAGTTCACATTTCAGCTCTGCCGCTGAAAGATCCTGTTGCTAACCTGTAAGACATTCAGTTTAACCATCTGTAAGATGAACGTACTAATAATAGTGGTGAAATTCCCCATTTCCTGAAAAATAATTGTGAAGTGTGTGCAGACTGGGTGTAACTCTGTGGCATTTGTGTTTGTGGGGTGTTTTGGTGTCCTTTTAGCAAGGGAAGTTTCTGGGTTTTTTTTCCCCTGCACTCTGTAGCCTGCCTAGAACTCCTGAACTGAGCTTACAGAAGTCTATACAAGACGTAAGAGGGAGATTGAGGTACTGAATGATGGTTCCGTTTTCCTTGGAACAAAGTAGTTCTTATGCAGTATGAAGGAGGGGGCTTCAAGAATAGGAATTCCACTTGAAAGAACACGCTCTGACCTGAACCGTCTCTCTAGTGATTCAGAGCAGAGACAGAAGACTCACAGAAGGGTGAAGATGTTATCTTTGCATGGCCCAAGAAATTATTGAAACTGTTGCCCAGAGTGCACAAGATTTAATTGATACCATCTTCTCCAGAATCTATCAAAGGCTGTGTGGTACTAGAAGGCTTGGACCAACTTTGAGAAGGGAAATGTGAGTGGGGTGGGGGATAGTCAAGGGCCTAGGAAATTGTTAAATATTGAAAAGGTCCTCAGGGTGTAGTTTGGAGTAGAGGCATAACCTGTCATAGTTGACAATTTTAGTCTACAGTGCTCCCTAACACACTCGTTACTTCATTTTACCCTCATTTTTTCCAGAATTGGAACTCTCTCAAACTTAGCCTGTCACCACATTTGGTATCTGGAAATATACTTGTGCTTCCTCTGTCCCGATAGTTATTCCCGGTAGGTCATGGAGGGTTTGCCAAGGTCTTCCTGCTGTGTAAGAAAGATGAAAAAAATTGAATTTGCAAAGGTAAGTGAGTTGCCCAGGGTCACATAATTTGTAGATGTCAGGCATCCTGACTTTTTGATTAGTGTTATGTGTTTTGCGCAGTATAGTCAGAGCTCATGTTTGTTTTTGAGATCAGTTTCATGAACTGCAATTAATTTAGAATAAACATTTTGGAAATTTTGCTTTGAACCTGCCTGTCCTTTTTCCCTCAATGCTTTTTGTTGATTGTGTGAGCTCATGGGGTTAGTAATACAAGTTTTTCCCACTTAATGTTAGTAATCTGTTCCTGAAAATCATAAATTCTACAGCAAATTAATAGAAGCCTGTGTTTCATTATCTGAAGTGGGAAAATTAGACTGAATCATGCTTTTACTCCTAATTAGTTTCTTAAAATATAAATGAAACAATACAGTGCCCACATGTAAGGAAGACTTATGATGTAAACATTCAAAATAGTCTTATGATTTTGAGACAATTTCTTTATATGATTCACATGGCCTTTCTTTAGTGTCAGCAACTTCTCTTGAGTTCCAACTAGTTGACATTTGTCATGCTTTTGAAAACTTCTACGTGTGATTGTGAAGTTCTCTTGACTGTATTTTGCATGTAATTCAATTCTTTATCCCCCTCCTCACCAATATGTTAAAAATATGTTGAATTCTGGGGGATTAGACATATCAGCATTTGATGTGTAGCAATCAAAAAAACTTAATGGTTTAGAAAACAACCATTTTGTTTGTTCGTGATTCTATGAGTCAGCATTTTGGGCTGGGCTCAATTGGGCAATACTTATGTTGTTGTTACCTGGGATCACAAATGAGGCTATAGTTGTCTGGTGCCTCGATTGAGGCCGGTTCCTTGAAGATGACTTCACTCACATGTCAGGTGATCTGTGCTGGCTCTTGGCTAGGCCATGTGCATACAACAGGCAAGCTCCAGGCCTCTTCATGAGATGACAGGATTCCAAGAAGGCAAACTGTCAGGCAAACGTTTTTCAAAACTATGTTTGTATTACATTTACTAATGTCCTGTTGGTGAAATCTAGAGAAATGGCAAAGCCTGGTGTCATTGTGGGAGGGAACTATGTGAATGCATGGATACAAGGAAGCGTGTCATTGGGAATCATTACTGGAAAAGTGTACTACAATAAATATATGTTACGTACATTTTTTCTTGTACAATCATGGGCCAAAAATGTTAGGTTGCGAGATGCATACTTTCTATGAAGTTTAGATATATAAAAGCAAGAGGTATTCTAGTGGAAACGATACTATGGAGTTCTGTGTGGTAGGTCTGTATTAATAGGAAAGTACTTAATAATGCTCAAGTACTTTGTTATAATGTAAATTTTAGTGAGGGCACGAATGTTTCTTCGTTCAATGTACTGTAATTTGTTTAAACAACCATTCTTAAAATTTTTTGTAGTAACATTAATTTTTACTGAGTCACTAGCAAATAAGAGTTTTTTAATAACCTGAGAATAAATTGTGTGTTTAGTCTATACCAATGAATAGAACTCTGGGTGCTCCTTCAAACGAGGTCTTTCCTGTCCATTTTCATGTGTAGTGGAGTATTCCTCCAAAGGGAGGCTTTTTTTGTTGTTTTGTTTGTTTTTTTCTAACTAATATGTAGAGAGCTTTGCACAGTGGAATCTAGGATCGAGCTATACCATTTCTCTCATGACCAACTCCATTCACTTTCTCTTCTAGCTATAATTCCAGAGTCCTCTACATGTTTCCCAGATCAGAGAAGATGGATACATCTCCAGTAAGTTGTTTATATATTTATTCATTCCTCAGCTTGTTTTACATTGTAGTATTTTAGGAGCTTTATGAGGGCTCATTAATTAAAATGGAAAAGTAAAAATGCATAAAATTTAGCATCAGAGAAATATACATAAACAAGATAAATTGGCATGTTGATATAGGCAGATTACAAGTCCTTAGAGCCGTGTAAATTGAGTGCTAATCTCTGATCTTTCTGATACCATGGCAAAAAGACATTTGTTACATGATTTTAATGGATTCTCCTGGTATATGAAGTTTGAAGCAGTGTCTTTACTGGTCACATAGATAATGTAGTGTACCGTATTTCATTACAAACCTAGACATGTAAACACTCAGCGTTCTGCAGTGGCAACAATTACCTAGTGCTAAAACACAAATCAGTTAAGTTTTTTCTGAAATAACTAAAATGGTGTGGACCCAGAAAGCTTTTGGAAGTCTTCACTTGTTTAATGCATGTATAAAACCTGGAATGTGTGGAGGATAGACTCTACTGCAGGCCCTTAAATAACTTTACATACATTCTCTCAGCTAGTCTGTATATGCAGGTTATACCACAGACTGTCCAAAGTTATATTTGTTGACACATATTTCTATTCCTCATTTACACTTCAATCCCCTTAATGTAGTCTTAGTTCAGTTCAGCAGAAGTTCACCAGTAACTTAATTTATCGTCTAATCCAAAGACTGTTTTTTAGGCTTTGCCTCACTTTAATCTTCTGCTGAATTTAAACTACTGTCTGTCTTGGAAATTCTTCTCTGTTAATTTCTAACATGTTCTTGCTGATAGTTTCTTCTCTTTATCCCGTCTATTCATCTACTTTTTTCTCCTTCTTGACATATCTCGTCCCAGTATTTCATCTTGTTCTGCGTTCGTCCCACCCTGCAGTTCTCCTTGGCTGATTTGGCCTTCTGTGGTTTGACGGTCCTTTCTCTCCAGGTTGGACCTTTTCCCAGCCTTTGGACAATAGGTTCAACTTGCTGTTGAATGCTTCTTTGTAAATGTCCAAAAGCACCTCAAATGCAACAAATCCAAAATGAAAACCACATTCTCCATTCTCCTTTTTTCTATGATATTGTTACTGACTAGTCTTGACTTAAAGAACCAAAAGGGATTTTTTTCTGAACTCTTCCCTCTCTATCAGGTCTGATCTTTTCTGGAGTCATGTGTTGCTATTTTTGTTTCTTTGTTTTTAAATTGGATTCTAATGCCTTCACACAGTGCCTGTAAAGGTGGAGGAACTATTGGTGCTTAAAAACAAGTACAGTAACTTTCTCTTTTTTATATTGGAAATGTCACTTTTGGTAAAACCTGAAAGGTCTGTTTTCTCAGTGATGAAGTTTGATCTCTCTTGAGCTGTGCTATTAGCCAGCAGGTGTGTTGCCATCCTTATGAGTCAGTGGGAGAAAGCATTCAGGAGTTGGATATATTTGAACAACAGTCAACAGACAGATACACAAAGAATAAAAACAGGGAGCACAGATTTTTAATAATTGTACCTTTTGCTTATATGTGTTTATGTCATTGGTCCTACTGTAGTTTGTAATAATTCAAGATTGTACATTTCTAGCTCGAAAAATGTCTTGTCATGTTTTTAAACTTTTTTTAAAGATTGCGTTTAATTCTTTTATTTCAGCTACTCACTTAAAAATTACTAGGGAAAAATAGATGTGTGCATCAGTCATATCTATGTACTAGAACTGTGGTTAATAGTTGCTTTAAAAAAAACTTTCAAGGGGGAGGGGAGGGAAAAAAACTTCTTAAGATAAAATATGCATAACCTAAGATTTGACGCTTTTATCCATTTCTAAGTGTACAGTTCAGTGGCAGGAAGTTACTTTAATTTGCAACCATCACCACCATTCATCTACAGAATTTTTCATCTTCCCCAAATGAAACTCTGTACTCATCAAACACTAAATCCTTCTTCCCCTCTTCCCCAGGCCCTGGCAAGCAGTATTCTACTTTCTATCTTCCTGAATTTATCTATTCTAGGAGCCTCATCTAAGTGGAATCATACAATATTTGTTCTCTTGTGACTGGCTTCTGTCACATGGCATAATGTTTTCAAGGTTCATTTATGTTGTAGCATTTGTCAAAATTTTCTTAGTTTTTAGGGATCAGTAATATTTCATTATATGTATATATCACATTTTGTTTATCCATTTATTTTTCAGTAGAACCTTAGGTCGTTTCCACCTTTTGGCTATTATGAATAATGCTGCTATGAACAAAAATGCAAATATCTATTTTAGTTCCTGCTTTCACTTTTTTTGGGTATATACCTGGGAATGGAACTGATGGATTATATGATAATTCTCTGTTTAGTTTTTTCAGGAATCTCTGTAATATCTTCCACGCACATTCCGTCATTTTACATTCCCACCAGCAATGCGTTAGGGATGCAGTTTCTCCGCATCCTTGGCAATACTTGCTATTTTCTAGTTTTTATTTTTTTTCCATAATGACCATTGTAATGAGTGTAAAGTGATATTTCATTGTGATTTTGATTTGCATTTCCCTAATGACTAGCGATTTTGAGGGTTTTTTATGTGTTTATATTTAGTTATTTGTATATCTTCTTCCTTTGTCCATTTTTTAATCTGGTTTTTTGTTTTGTCTTTGAGTTATAAGATTTTTATGTTTTATTTTTTATTTATTTATTTTTTTAAAAGGTGACTGGTAAGGGGATCTTAACCCTTGACTTGGTATTATCAGCACCATGCCCACCCAGTGAGCTAACTGGCCATCCCTATATGGGATCTGAACCCATGACCTTGGTGTTATCAGCAACACTCTCCTGAGTGAGCCATGGGCCGGCCCGTAAGATTTTTAAATATATATTGTGGATATTAATCTCTTAATATATTAAATATGTGCATTGCAAATGTTTTCTCCCACTCCATGTGTTGCCTTTTCATTCTGTTGATAGTGCTGTTTGATGCACAAAAGGTTTTAATTTTATACAGTTCAACTTATCTCTTTTTTTCTTTTGTTGTTTTTACTTTTGGTGTCATATCAAATAAGTTACTGCCAAGTTGCAAATGTTTTCTCCCACTCCATGTGTTGCCTTTTCATTCTGTTGATAGTGCTGTTTGATGCACAAAAGGTTTTAATTTTATACAGTTCAATTTATCTCTTTTTTTCTTTTGTTGTTTTTACTTTTGGTGTCATATCAAATAAGTTACTGCCAACCCCAGTATTATGCAGTTTCTTCCCTATGTTTTTTCTTAACTGAACATTTTAAATTCACAATTACAGTTTAGTATCATAACATAAAATATGAGATGATTGTTATTTATTTATTTATTTAGAAACTAATATTCAGTTTAAATTTCAGCATTCCATGTTTCCAAGTAAGATATTCTTTTTGGTCTCTAATGACCTTATTAGTATTCTGAATTGCCAGGTTCTGTTGGTTAAGCAAGTTGCTAAGGCCAGCCAACGTTCAAGGGGAATTAGTTTTCGTCTCAAAGGAGAGAGTGGAAAAGAAGTTGTGGTTGCCTTTAATCTACCAAAAATGTCATTGTTATAATATATTTTCATCAACATATATTCTAATTTCCTTTGACTTTACTTTTTTCACTCACTGATTATTTAGAAGTGTGTTATTTAATTTTTAAATCTTTGAGACTGTTCCGGGATTTCTTATTCTTGTTGATTTCTAATTTAGTTACATTGTGGTCATAAAACACATTAAAGGATTTCAGACTCGAGACATGTTTTGTCACTCAGCACATATTCTGTCTTGGTGTGTGTTCCATGTAGTTCTTTATAAATATCAATCAGGTCGAGATAGTGGCATTCATGTCCCTATTCTTACTGATGTTTTGTCTGGTTGTCCCACCTGTTACTAAAGAAGAATTTTAATTGTCTGAATGTGTAATTATGGTTTTTTTGCATTTTTAATTGTAATTTTTTGAGTTCCCCATTTAGTTCTGTTGGGGGGGGGGTTGTTTTTTGTTTTTTTATCTTTTGAGGCTTTGTTTTTAGGCACATATGTTATTTATATCTGGTATTATCCTGATGTATAATCCTTTTATTATTATGAAAGGTTTATCTTTATCTGTGGTAATACATTTTGTGTTGAAGTTTGTTTCATCTGGCAGTAAGATCTCCACTTGAGGGTGTTTTTTGGGCAGGGGAGGTGGCTCTGGCTGGTACAGGGATCCAAACACACGACCTTGGTGTTACAAGGCTGCACTCTAACCAACTGAGCTAACCAGCCAGCCCAGCCCTCCACTTGAGGTTTTTTATTATTTGTGTTAGCAAAGTATATCTTTTTCCATCCTCTTAACTTTCAGTCAGTGTCTTTGTATTTAAAGTATGTCTCTGTGAATGGCATATTGTTGAGTCTGTTTTTTATCAAGTCTGACAGTCTCTGCCTTCACTTAGGTATTCACTCTGTTTACATTAAACTATTAATATGGTTGAATTTAGGACTGCCAAGACACCAAGAGAAGCCTGTGTCTACAAATTTCAAAGATGAATTCTAACAAACATTTAGAGAAGATTTAGTATTCTTCTCAAGCTCTCCAAAAAATAACTTAGACTTATTCTACAAGGCTACGGTGGTTTAAATGTGTCCCCCAAAAGTTCACGTGTTGGAAACTTGATCCCCATTGAAAGGTGTTTAGAGGGTGGGAAATCCGATTGTGATATTTGAAAGGTTGGGCCTTTGAGAGGTGATTGAGTCTTTGAGGACTATACTCTCGTGAACGGATTAATCAATTCATGGAGTAATGAGTTATCATGGGTGTAGACTAGTGGCTTTACAAGGAGAACACATGAGGGAGCTCTTGCCATTCTTGCTATGTGATTGCCTGCGTCACCACAGAACCCTTTAGAGAGTTCCCACCCAGAAGACGACCCTCACCAGATGCACCCCTGGACCACGGACTTCCCAGCCTTCAAAACTCTATGAAATAAATTTCATTTTCTTTCAGGTATTCTGTTACAACCCTTTAGAGAGTTCCCACCCA